CAACGCATGTACATGCACATGAAAGTCGCCTTGCGTTCTTCACATTTTAAAAGTTGGCTCCTAATTTTCGGGGTCGCCTGTGATTTGATTGGACGCTTGATCTTTTTTCAATGACTGAACATTGAATGACGTACGAGGTGAATGCGAATCTCAGAAAGGTAGTTGTAGAATAAAAGTTTTTATATACAGATTAATTTACCCTATACCCTACCGTTTATACTTATAAAAGAACCCGTCTTCTCGCTGGAACATTTCATCGTATTGATCTTCTCCTAGGACAGAAAGCCCAATAGTATCCTTAAATCTTGCAAGCATGTCTTCTCATTCGTTGTGGCATGGCAAAGTTCTTTGGATCCCAATCCAGCTTCTTCAATAAGACAAAACCACTCATGGTTCGCACCCTTGTAACACCACGTAAGCCCAGTTTTTGACAGTATCGCCATGAATGTACAAATAACCACACTGCAGAATATCCCTGTAATTTGTGTCCAGTTGTCGCAGAATTGCTGATAATCGGGAACTGCTTACCCTTATCTTGGTGTGTACAACTTCTCCGTCATAAAACCATCTGGTACTGAAAGTGTGTCTTGCTCCGTTACATAAAAAGTACGTGGCATATAGTCTCCATTTCATGTTCCACAAGGATAGATTTGACTTGACCTGAGAAAAAAGCCCGAATCTTGCAGCCGTTGTCGAGTTGAATAACCATGGGGGTGCAACCATCCTCACATTCACTTTCTCACAAAAAGCCGAGATCCATTGGCTTCTCCATTCGGAACATTCGTGTTCTCTGTAAACATTACAGGACACCCCTTATATAACTTCAAAGCAGGATCAACACTTTTTCGTGAGTCCGAACCGGTTTTAACGAGTCTTCTCCAATGTTGAAAAGAAGTGCTTTAAAACCGAATTGCTCTTACAGGAACCAGTGTCCCTGCTTGATTGGCCATTTGAAGATCTCCATGAAAATGAGTACTCATCCATCAGCACGGAATCATCAGCAGTTTGTTCTTCCCGCAAAATTCTTTGAAGATAGCTGAGTTAATGGCATCTCGATCCCGATTCAGATAAGTAGCAACTTGAATGTTTCTGGTGGAACATGGGTTGGGCCAACCACCAGGCGTCATTGATGGTCTCAATATCTTCTTCTGTTGGTCGCCCTTCACGGAATCTTAAACAGCTTGCCCCCATTCAGGATCGTCTTGAAGCGGTGCATTCCACTAACTCAATAAATAATTCAGAGATCATGAAATTCAGAATGGTGTGCTGAAGATTGTAAATTGGGGGCGTCCCACTGGTTCAAGTTGAGGTAGTCCCCCGCGAAACCAAGTTAAGTCCCCCAAATGGTTGGTATTCGTCTTGCATCAAGTTCTTGGTGTAGTGGATTATCTTCACTAAGTCAAGTTCCCCCCGAATGAAATTTCGTCGATGATAAGCATCCTTGCGTCACTCCATTCTTCACCAAGTTCTTCGCCACACTTTCCCGATTTCTGTTCAATCCCACAGCGAATGCGTTGTTTCCCCATGTAGTATTTGTAGCAGCAACCCCCGACAAAGCAGTGACAACAATGGTTCGGTCGTTAAATGGATGATCAATCAAACTGCAGAATTCTTTGCCATCGGCCACTGTACCCGTCAATACATATAGTCGAATACGTAGACTTCTACAGGGCTTCTAAGTAATGCGCGCCGGTATATTCAAACCTCTGCCCCCATCGGTACCATTACCCCTAAAGCAAATCGTCTCCAGGAGACGAAATAGTCTAACAAGTCTCACCAGTGGAGGTCGAGAATCGAGATCTTCATTTTGAGGCGGCTGCCGGGTCGCCCCCACTCACGTCTAAGTACCAAAACATCCACGAATGATTGTCATGCATCCACATGTTAGCGATCTGCATTCAATGATCGGCACCACATGGGGTTCCCGGCCGCACCTTGGTGCTTGTTGGTGGTAGCAAAGTGGTAAGTGGTTGACTTATACTCTATCCTCTGCACAACAAACCTTCATTCATTCTCTAGAAGATATTTCCTGGATGCTAGCTGGCTAACTGGTTTGCCAGATAGATAATCGCTCCAAGATGGTGTTCCTGCCGAAGCATGCCGTCATGATGTTGCTCCTTTTCTTATTGGAAGCAAACTTGGAATTGTGTCAAGCCATTCCGCGTCCTCAAAGATTGCGCAAAGGGGAGTCGTCCTCGAAAGCTCCACCTTCCAAGACCGCTATGAAGGACATAAAGAAACATGCCACCAAGAAAGAAAGTCAGTTGAAGACTGATCAAGACGAGGCTGATTTTTTCCATCAGTACATTGTCCGCCTCTTGGATGGAGATACACAAAGTATGCCGCCACCACCTTCCAAGGACGACGAAGATTCCGATGAAGACCCCGTCGATAGTACTGGTCCACCAGCGGAAGATGGCACATCGGCTCCAACCTCGAGCCCAGTGGCTAGTGCTAGTACCACGACCGAGCGCACCGCCTGGCCTCATACGCTTTCAGATATTCCCTTGGATACAAGAGTTATGGTTGGAGAGCTTCCAAATAAACTGCGTTACATGGCTCTAGAGAACAGTGAGCCTCCGGGGCGACTTGAACTGCGACTTCATGTGGATGCTGGCTCCTTGGAGGAGCGAGAAGGGGAAGAAGGAATGGCACACTTCCTGGAGCATCTAGCGTTTCAGTCTCTGAAGAGTTTTCCGGGTTTGAACGTGCTGGAGGAATTGCTGAAGTTGGGCATCGATGCACAATCATACCACAGCAACGCGTACACGACGCATAACGTAAGTCTGATCAAAGAATACCCACCCCATGTATGGTTTGCGAATCTTGAACATCAAATCATTCTCTTACGTTTTTACCTAACCACAGGAAGTTGTGTACAGACTGACAGTGCCACAGCTGGACAACAAGACCATTGATACTTGTTTCAAGGTGATGCGAGACTATGCGGATGGCATGCTGCTGCTCGAGGATGAAATCAACACGGAACGAGGAGTCGTCCTATCTGAGAAACAGGACCTAGCATCAGTTGAGGAAAGGATCTGGGACCGATACTTTCCATGGTCATTGCCGGACAACCTACTTACTATTCGGTTTCCCATCGGGTTGGAGGAATCCATCAACGCGTTTACAAGACAGCAGTTTGTGGAATTCTACAAGAGACTCTACACGTCTCAATACATTACCTTCATTGTGGTTGGAGACATGAACACAACTGCCATGGAAGATCTAATTGTCCAATACTTTGGTTCCATGGATTATGCAGGTGAAAGGAATCCGCTACCAGACTATGGGACAATACCAGTTGGGGTTGGCCTACGGACTGCTGTTTTTGCGGAAGACGAGTTGCAAGGCGATTATTTATACCTTGAGAGCTTTAAATCTGGTACTGAGGATGGAGCGGAGGAGCTTGACACCATGGAGAGACGCGAAAAACGGATGAAGACGAATGTTTGCAACACCATCCTTCAAACGAGGTTGCAAGCCATGAGCAGGTGAGTCGTTTCTGCCCAACCAACTTGTATGCATCACTGTGCCATTCAAATTGCTCACCCAAACGCTCTGCTTCGATATAGCAATGCCTCATCACCGATTGCTTGGGGGGGCGCCTACGTTGACCGATGGTATGATGTGGTAGAGTTTTTGGATGTTTGGGTACAACCCAAAGAAGAACTCTGGGAGGAGGCTGTGGCAGTTATAGAGCAAGAGTTGAGAAGAGCAACAACTTATGGCTTTCTACCATCCGAGGTTGACACAGTCAAATCAGACATACTAAACAGTTACGAGCAGAGTGTTCTGTCCAAGGATACAAGGGAGAGCTATGATATGGCGGATGGTTTGAGGGATAGTATAAACGGCAACAATGTTGTGTCCACTCCCGAAGAGAACTTGCGGATTGCGGCCTTGGTGCTTGACAAAATAACTCCGGGTGAGTGTTGACATAAATTTGATTTTGCTGTTGCCTGTGAACAACAAGACTCAATTGTAAGTGTTCACATTGCCAAACCAACCTCTAGATGCGTTGCTTGAGCACTACAATTCATACTGGTGGAACACAGGTGACATAAATCTGTACTACACTTCATCCACTATCAGCATGGACGAAGCCGAAGCTGCTCAAAGATTGGAAGATCTATATCTTGAGAGCCAGCTAGCTGAAGTGGATCCTCCAGTTGAGCCTAAAAATGTTTCTTTTGCCTACACTGATTTTGGCCCCCCTGGCACTGTTGTATCTGACACCTTGGTGGATGACCTCGATATTCGACAATTGAAACTCTCCAACAATGTCCGTGTCAACATGAAAACAACAGAATTTGATGATGGAGTTATTGAAATTGTCGCTCGCTTTGGCACAGGAACACTTGGACAGCCACGCGATGCAACCCATTTGGATGAATTTTCAGCATATATGATCAATTGGGGTGGCCTAGGTGAGCATAGCTGGGAGGAATTGGACCGAGTCTTGGCAGGACGGACTTGGGGTGCGTCATTTCAGGTACAACAGGGGGCATTCGTTTTGAGAGGCGTAACCAATCCAGATGACCTGGAACTGCAATTACAGGTATTGGCAGCGCATCTTGTTGACCCAGGGTACCGTGATGAGGCAGTGGGCTGGTGGGAGTCAGACTCTGGTGCTAGCCTCAACTATCTTCAAAACACTCTATATGGCACTTACAACCATGAGATGTATGGATGGCTCCTGGGTGGAGACCAGCGATTCACAGAGCCAACAGAGGAGGACTTTTTTGCATATGATGCCTCGCATGCCAGGGAATGGCTCGAACCGCAGCTGGAAAACAGCTATTTGGAGATCAGTTTGGTTGGCGACCTGGATCAGACAGAGGCAATCAGCCTGCTACTGGAAACCATTGGAGCTCTTCCAGTGCGCTCAGATACACCCCCTCAATTTACAGCTGAAGATCGTGCCATCAATCGCCCATCTGCACCTCAGGAAAAAGTCATTCCCTACGAGTCAACAATTCCCAATGCAGCCGTGATGTTGACTTGGAGCATCCCTGCCTTACTTGGAGCAAATGTCACAGAATTCCGCCATTTGCAGGTCCTTGCTGCCATTCTAGATGCTCGGGCATACGATAAGATTCGAGAGGAACTTGGCAGTGCATATGCCCCGCAGGCATTCGCAGACTTTTCCAGTGATTTTGACTATGGCTACATGTTTCTTTATTCAGAAGGGCTTCCCGAAGAGATGAATCCTTTGGCTGATGTGATGGTGGCAATGACAGAGGACATCACAAGCTCTGGAGGCAGCATCACGGAGGAAGAAGTGGTTCAAGCTGTCCTCCCGATCCAGTCAAGGTACCAGGAATCCCTTCGATCAAACAGCTACTGGCTCAACGCTGTTCTGCAGGAATCACAGGCAGAACCTTTTGAACTGGATTGGGCGAGAACATACATCGATGACTATAATTCTGTCACTGCTGATGCTTTGAATGCCATGGCTGTTCAGTACTTGGCTCTGGACAAGGCCATACAAATCACCTTGCTGCCTGTCGATGACGTTTCTGTTTTCTAGTTTTCTAGTTTTCTAGTAATAACCCAATCAGTACAGTGTCACATCAGTTCATTCAATCAATCGTTTCATTTGGATGGATCTAGCCAGCGCCAGCTAGTTTTATTGTAGCTCCAAAATCCCGTCTTGCCTCACACTTACATACATGTACTTCAAGTGCACATCAAACTAACTGATCGACTGGCTTGACTCAACTCTTCGATCACAAGTCTGACGTCATCTCTGGTGGCAACAATTGATCTTTCGCTCTGCCTTTGACGACCCATCCTCATCCAGTTAGCTTGAAGAGCACTTGCACTTGTTTACCACCATGGAAATTGCTTTGAGCAGGGTAACTTCGATTAGCAATGTCGTCCTCCTGTGGGCTTTATCACTGCCGTGCGCAACTTGGCGTTGCATCGATGCTTTCCAGCATGTCCCAGTTATTCGTCACATCCATGCATCCTCCAATGACGCTGCGCGCAGGCAACTACAACATGTAGTACCAATGATGATCTCGGGAGGAGAAGGAATACCAAGGAGGCACGTGCTACAAGCTCCATTGCTGTTGTTGGGGACTGGTCAGGTTGCTACCGGTACTGAAAAGGCCAATGCTCTAGAATTGGATCTCATGGGCGAAAGCGACAAAGGAGAGCGGTTGACCGTTCCGCTCGCTTGGATACCAAAGTTATCAGCGTATGTAGTCTACTACAGTATTGGAGGCGAGAAGTTTGGTGCTGTTGTTGATACGGGGAGTCCTTTCTTGGTGGTACCCAACTATTGCAATCGCAGAGCCTACGGCTGCTTTAAGGAAGCAGACAGTCGTCCCTCTGGGCTGGCATCAACTTGGGAACGATTCGACAACAATGAAGGAGAAGTGGAGTGGCGCAAGGCACGATTTTCCTTTATCAATGCCACCACGGACAGCAGCATGATGGGGCCTCCAGAGATGGTCTTTGGTGTGCTGAGTGAATCGCTAATGGATGGCTCTGGAGGAGTATTCTTTGGGTTGATCCGCGACACGGACAACTGGATCCGACCCTCCTTTCTGGGACAAACCAACGTGCGAGCTTTGGAGATCAACTTGCAAGACAATAAATCGTTGACCTTGTATACCCGTTCTCCCATAAGAGACGACAATTCTCCACAAGCGGACTACATCCCATTGGTGCGTGATTTGAATCGCAAATATGGAGATCCGGTAATTCATTACACAGCCAAAGCATTGGCCATCCAAGCCAATGGAAATTCCATACTCAAACCCAACGATCGGACCCCCATTTATGTCATTTTTGATACAGGAGTCACTGGTATGGTGCTCAGTCAGGAACTCTTTGACGAGCGCTATGCCATGGCGAGAGCCAGCCGTGAAAAGTCATTGTGGGGGACGGTGAATGTCAGCTTCCTGACAAAGGAGGGACATACAGTATCATTGGAGGCTCAAAAGCCCGTCACGACGCCTCTAGCGAACAAACCTTGGCCCAAGTTCAAGAATGCACATTTGATTGTGCTGGGGTTAGCCTTCTTGGATGGACACACAATGACCATTGATATGGACAACCAAAAGCTGCAGATTCTGTAGCTAGCTGGTGCGGCGGTACCTCAGAAGGTACTTTGAATCTAACGCGCAAACCACTGAGAACATCTGTCTTTGGGACCTCAAGTCAAGTTGCCACTCCCTCTGATCACGACAACTTACATCTCCAACGACTGCAAGGAGCTCTTTGGCAGAAGGACAAAATGATTCCGTGACAATCAGCAATTTTGACCACTGATAGTTTCATTCGACCAAGTCTCTCTGCTAGGGTTCAACCTCTGAGTGAGGGTGTCTACAACGTGCCATTGCCGCTTACTGGCTTGATCTCTACGAGCACGAAGATGCCTTCCATATGTACTATACACCTTACTTGATGTTATCTATTCATTCATGCAATGTCATACCGATTTGTAAACTTCCATTCCAAACACTCCATGGCCCCTCAGAGACTCTACGCTTCGCAGGATCCCGAAGCACCCATGATCATGGAGGTCGACATGAAATGAAACACATCCTTCCACGCCTCACGGGTCTTGTAAGTGAAGTCTCTTCCAAGAATATTGGCCAGGGTGCTTTCCAAGGCTTTCCCCATCGAGAAAAAGTGCTTTGGCATGACACCATACCTCTGATGTTGCTTCCCTAGATCGTACATCTGTTGTTCCACAATGTCCATTTCAGGGCCAAGCATATGGACTATGAGGTCAGAGAACACAGCGCAGAAGAGACAATGGTGTGAGTTAGACTGCTGACTCATCTATGGTTGGGATGTGATGAGATGATGAGATGAGCTGGTTTTACCTGCAAGGTCAAGCATTCTGACAAATTTCTTTGCAAAAGCAACACATTGAGGATCTTTCTTTGCAAAGTCCTCCTTTCTCCAACGAAAGATTCCCCAAGCATCCGGAGCGGATTCAAACATCTTATCGAACAAAGCAAGGCCCACAACTTCCTCGTAGTCTGGAATGCGCTTGATAGTGTCCCAGCTCTCAAAGACTTCAGAGACTGTGTCGAAGTAGGATGAGGAGGAGTCGTCCATGGTGATTGTAGCTAGTAGTTTGCTTGTGCTATGGATATTGGTGGTGCTTGCTTATATATTATGCGCTGTGTTCAGATTGTTCCACCGAGTTGCAAATTATATTTTGTGAGGGCATCAATCTTCAGAGTTCTTTGGTAGCCACCCAGGACTGTTGGAAACTGCCTGCGCCTTGTGCCACAAAGTAAGTGATCAACTTCCTGGATAAGAACCCTCTTTGTTCAAGAAAGAAAGCCCCGAGCAGTGAAAGAACAGTCTCGGTTTCTTTGGTGGCAGGCATCTGCAAGCACGGAAACCAAGAGGCATCAGTAATCAGTATTCAACTGAATCTGATGAGCCGTGCAGGAGCCAACAGGTACCTTGAAGAGGACTACTACCTATATGGCCAAACAGATCATGCGGAACTAATTACTCCACTAATTATACTCTGAGTTGCTATTGTACATGACATTGTAGTAGCTGACATCGTACATGGATGCCAATTTTGGCTGGAGTACAAAGCCTATGTCACGTACAGTCCAGAGGAGCTGCTACCGGAACCTGACAAAGACTGCCATGACAACCCGGACACCCGGACTGGGTAAACCGTTGGACCAGGGCCACACTCGGGCCAAATGCGAAGACTTGGAACAGCTTTCCGGATCGCTTTCATGCACTTGTGTTCTAATAACAGCTGTTCTAACCGTACCTTCTTTGAAGGGGTCGAACGCTCGCACGCTCGGACGTCATTGAACATCCGGAAAAGCTCCCAACAACCGGTCTTTTCATGCGCTGTACTCGTAACTTGTAGTGTAATAACCATACTCTAGCTAGAACTACCCCAGCTATTAGACTCCAAAATTTAATACTCGAGTACCAGCTCAAGTTCAGTAGCAGCATTATAATAGTTCTGTCGCAGCGTCGCCTACCGGGGGGTACCTGGTACTCCAAGAGGAGAGATTAGCGTCCTTCAAGCAAAGAACACTTCTTCGTGGGGTGCGTACTTTCAGTAACGGGTCTCCCACTCATAAGCTTCGTTGCTGTAGCTCTTGGGGACGCATGTATTGAATTATGTGGTCGTAATGCAGCACCTCCTCGGCAACCCTAGCTGCGGTTAGTTGAAGCATTCCTTGCGGTGGCTTTGCGGTGGAGCTAAGATTAGCGAAAGAAGACCTTGAATCTCGTGGTACTGGTACCACCTGGATGGCAATACGATGCATCCCAAAAGATGGCAACCATTCTTTTTCGTCTTGTTCTGCCGGGCCATCATTATGTCAGTCAATCTTGGTTCCTCACTTACTTGAACAACGTTGTATCTCTTAAGGAACGATAGCCTGGACTCTCTCACGCGACGAAGAGATTCGCGACGAAGGGCGAGCGAATCCTTCAGAACGCAAGTTTCCAGTCATAGCTGACCCAGTCGAAATACCGGTACCGGTAGGCGGTAGGGTAGAACACAACATTCCTTGATGTTTGCCCGTATGGCATTTTCGTGTGTGCATTTTGCGTCTCTGCGCTGTTCCGGCGGCTTCTTCAGGCGCATGCTCTGCTTTGCCACAAGACACTCGGAGTGCCTTCTTGGCCGAAGATTGCATTAGACACCGGGCTAGGGAAGTCGTTGCATGCCGAGTCGAGTGCAAGTTGACAATTACTTTGGTGCTAGCTGATTGATTGGAGGATAAAGGGAGTCCAAAGAGCGGCCAGGACCGCGGTTGCAATGGTGGAGACAACATTGACAGCCTCATTGGAAAAGAAGGCCCATCCACCGCAATTCTCCGTGTTCGGAGAGTTCTTTTTCTTGACGACTATGCGTCTCTTGGTATCGTAGTATGTAGCTTGCAGGGTTGCTCCCAACAGGCTGTCAAGTAGAGACCCAAACAACCCAGACGCAAGCCCGACAACCGTCAGCATGTATGTGTCCCGAATCCACTGACCAGGAGCTAGCGGAAGCAATAATCCGTGGCAGAGCCCCATTGCTGCCCCTCCAGTGGCGCTCGCCAGAGTGCCGGCCAAGGAAACCCCGCCATTGGTTCCTGGTACAACTGTGCGCCACGGCATCGTTACAAGTCGTGGGGGTTGTTTGGCCAATACTCCAAGTTCACTGGCCCAGGTATCTCCAGCGCAGCAGGCGAAAAAGGCGACATAAGCGAGTGTCAAACGGTTGCCTTGATATCCAAAGTTCGCCATGCTTAGCGGAGAGTCCACCCCAACAAAGATCCGCCTCAATATGCCACAAAGCACAGCGAATAGGCTACAAGCCAACACTTGCTTAGCGCCACGGTCTCCCTCAGCAGCATAGTCGTCCTCTAACTTCATCTTTGTGGAAGCTCCAACCTTCGTGAGCTTGCTGCCAGTAGCATAGAAACATATCAGCGTCGCGCCACATCGAAATGAACAGCTAAAGGCAGCGGCCTGATGCACCAGGCGAAACATGGTAGATGCATGGTTAGTTCTTGCTTGTTTTTAATATTGGTCCAACAAACAAAAAACCTTCAGTGCTTACGGCGACGGCAAAAGCGGCAATCGATCCAGATCGATTTAGTGATCCTTTCTTGTACCCGCTCTTTGCTATCTTCAGGGCAATTGCTGTTCCAATGGCGGTCCGACCAATCTGGTGCATTATCGCTGACGCCGACAAAGCTAGCACTCCTCTGCTCGTATGGGAAACAGAAGGAGTAACAACTCCATTGCCAAATCCTGCATTTCGCGGATGCTCAAAACTCGGCTTGAAGCCATCCAAACGGTGCCTGTTTTGGACAACGGCATGCAATGGTCCTTGGAGAAAAGCGCTGCAATTATGCAAAAGACCAATAACGAGGAAGACTACTAGCAGTTGCAAAGACCAACAGCGTCTCATCCTGATCAAGTTCAGCGCTGACAAGGAGGGATGGTTCTTGGCACTTGGCACTTGTTTGGCACTTGCGATCTTTGCAATCGTTTAGTTTAGGGTTAAGTCTATTAAATAAGTACTGTAAAGTGTGACTGGTCTTGTCTGCTCCCCTTGCTCCCTCCCGACTTCCCCCTATTTCCTCCTTCCCCCTCTGACATGAGCCTGCCATCGAATCGAATCATCGAATGGAAAATTGAAACCTTCATGTTGCGTTCCAATTTTCCCGAAGAAGGAGTATTGAAATCAGATCCAACCCTACCCACAGCCTTTCATGAATCAGCTGCCTGACCAGCATGGCATCAAGCCGTGCCCCAGTAGACAGTGAGCCGATGGCCAAGGCTCTGTCCAAAGACTCCAAGAAGCTTGAGATATGAAGATCCCTGTCCGCAAGGAAGCCCGTGACGCATCTCGCCGTGGTATTTCTGAAGCCCCAACCCGTGCCTTCAATGGAAAGTCTTTGTTTTCTGGTGCTCAGCCTGTGGAAACATTTGGGACGGTGTTGAACGAGTTTGTCCAAGCAAGAGAGTGTATAGCAGTAGAGTTGAATTTGTGAAAAGATTGTTCTAAAATTAGAGTTTCCAGTCAAAGGGTGCAAGGGAGCATGTTAATTCCGTGGCGGTGATTATGCCATACAACATATCATAGTACAGTCGTACATCCATCCATTATGCTGTGTGTGTTTCAGCTGTGAACAGGTCGTGCCGTACACCCACACACCGTTGTTAGAGACCAACTGCTCCTTGGATCATGGTAGAAGACCAGAACCCATAAACATTTTTCCATGCTTTCTGTGTATTGGGGGTGAACTTGCTGCCCAAGAGCCCCTGAAGAGTGTACAGGAGGGATTGGCCCATGAGGTCAAAGTGCCTTGGAAGCACACCATAGTTCTTGTGGGATCTTCCCAGGTCATACATCTGCTCTTCTACAACTTCCATGTCAGGACCAAGCTGAACAGTGACAAAACATCGCCGGAGCAACAAAGCGTATCGAAAAGCAGACATCAGCGTTAGCGAGGCCTTTGCAGTCGCGGTGCCATTCAAGAATTATCCATTCTCCGGTACTCACCATGTGGACTGCAAGGTCGAGCTGTAAGAAATAGGAGTCAGAACAAGAGAGCCAATGGAAAGACATCGTAAGCTACTCAACCAAAGCTACCAGCAGGGCCACTGCACCAGTTTTTGGACAACTATTTTTGGGTCTGTTTGAGTTCCTTACCATGCGAACAAACTTTGCTGCAAACGCCAGAAACTTTGGATTCTTTTGCTTGAAGTCCTCCCTCGTCCAAGGAAAGAGACTCCAGTCTTCTGGAGCAATTTGAAACATCCTAGAAAAGAACAACAAGCATCAAAGGCAAGCGTAAGAATGATTCCATCTCCTGACATTTGGTTTCTACGTTCTACTACTCTCTCTTTCTCTCACCGGTCAAAGAGGGCCATTCCAACAATCTCCTCATATTTGGGAATGCGTTTGATGATTTCCCAGCTTTCATATACCTGGGACACAGTTTGGAAGTAGGAGCCACAATCCATGTTGCTTTCAAGTGCTGACTTTGATTCGATTCTGTTTCTTCTGTACAATGTACGAACTGCTCTGCTTGATTTGATTTTGTGAGGCTCAGAGGGAAAGAAAGCCGAGAAAGAGTGGGGTTTGATTGTTCAAAGCTCTTTGGTTTCTTTTTGGAAGGTTTCTGGTGATGCCACCAGCCGCCAAGTCGGAACAATTGAGACCACGTTGAAGTTCGACGGTGCAACTTCAAAGTTCAAACGCCGGAAGACATGCTAATCAAATCAGTCAGGGTTAAGCTTGAAGAAGGTTTCTGAGTTTGTTTAAAAGGGGCTTTCCGAAAGCAAAGAAGACAGAAGGTGGTGCGGTCATCGAAGAATTGAATCTTGAAACCATTCTTTCATTAATTTTCTTGAAACTTGAAACCATTCGCGCATTCTAGATACCATACCAGGTGCGATGTAACCAGACGTCAAGACCCTGTCAACCTCAAAGCACAAGCCAAAACCACGCGCCCTCTCGGTTTGACCGGAGCTGCCGCAGCTGAACGAACCAACCCCAATTGGTCAACAAATCGTGCTCGGTCCTTGCTTGAGTTTCAGGGTGTCCTGAGCCAGCTACTCGCCTAACTAGTCAGTACAACCAACAATTGAAGGCGAGATGAACGGTTCTCACCCAGTGCGGTGGAACATTTTGAGGCAACAGGTTCGACCAAGACAGAATTTTTTGCGCCCGAAGCATTCAGATCGACGACTAAAACTACTAGTAACCTCAGCAGCCGCCCCACGACACGCCACTGTCAAGACTGCTCGCCCATCAAGAAAACAAACCACTATATATCGACAGACAACACGCACTCAACAGAGCCATGGCGAGTGTATTCCTCTCCGCGGTTGTGCTCTTGGAAGGTCTGAAGCACTACGGCGCAGGAACTCTGCTGGGATCTGTTGCCTATGCAACCATGGGAAAGAGATTGCCGCTCGCGGTCAAACCGCTGCCTTTTGTTGTCCCCGCCACGGCGTCGTTTCTGACATGGAATACAATTGATGCTCGCCGCTCGACACATCACGGAAGTGGACAGCCTTGGCTTCCCGATGGAACAATACACCCAAAACTTGGCGGCGATTGGCTTTGGGGGTAGGGCCTGCAGTGCGGACCTTTTCTTCCGGCACGTGAAGGGGGCTGGATGGAGGGCGGTGTCGGCCTTGCTGTATTCGGGCGCTTCCTCGATCCCCGTTTGCTTGCTTTACATCCCCGGGATCTGTCTTACGGCTTCGTGGGTGCCGGTACGCCGATAGGAGCATTCGCTTTTGCTAATAGCAAGATAGAACTGGCTTGCGGTTATTCAGTTGTAGTGTACTGCAATTGAGCAAGAACGCAGATAAAAATGGTATTTAGCACTATTAGTTTGTTACGTACCGGTACGAGCATTCAGTGGTCTGACGCCATCGAGCAGGGGCGCAAGGGCCCCGAGGGTCACATCACAGCTCGGCACTTCTTCGTGTCTCGTTGGCTCGAAGCAGGAGCTTCAGTTAGTTGTTCCCGAGCTTCAGTTGTTCCCGAGCTTCAGTTGTTCCCGAGCTACGGTTGTTGTCTTTTTACCGTCTTCAGTGATCTGCGCTCCCGCAAACCGTGGCAACGTTTTTATGCTGTTGCATGCTTGTACCGATATAAAGACCAGATGGGAGGATATATGGAGGTAGCTAAGTATGCATTATGCAATATTTCGTAAGTAGTAGTACGTCAGACCAAGCACGGAAGCGTGAAGCGTGGATTGGGAGCAGATGTCACAGTCTGCCATCGGACTGCCTGCCAGATGTTTATGCTTCAATCGCACCTTGGATCATGGAAGTAGACCAGAACCCAAAGATATCTTTCCAGGCTTGTTTTGTGGCTGGGGTGAAGGAGCTTCCTAGCAGCCCTTGGAGGGTGTGCGCCAAAGATTCACCCATCAGTTGCAAATGGATTGGAAGGACTCCATAGTTTCTGTGAGAAACCCCAATGTCATGCATCTGTTCTTCCACAATTTCAAGATCTGGCCCAAGCATGTGAACTGCAAGGTCCAGCATCCGGACAAATTTATTTGCAAAACCGAGAAACTTTTCGTCTTTGTTCTGGAAGTCGTCCCTGGTCCAGTTGAAGACATTGCCCCATTGATCAGGTGCAACTTCGAACATGCTAACATGCCAAGAGGTAGAGCAGAGCAGAAAACATAAGCACAGGATGCGTGAATAAGAGCTGAATGGCAGAGATATCGACGACGTGACGTACCGGTCGAATAGGGCAATCCCCACAGTTTCCTCATAGTCTGGAATGCGCTTGACTCGTTCCCAACTGTCATACACCTCTGAAACGGTTCCAAAGAAAGCACAAGAGTCCATGGTTGTTGTTTGTTTGATTGCTTGCTTGCTTGAAGGGAAAGACGTGGTTTGTTTTTGTTCTGTGGGAGTGTTGGGTTCTAGAGCTCAAGATTTGTGAGAAGAAATTTGATAGCCAATTGAGGGTGGATGGAGCAATCCGAACCAAAAAGTGATGGACTGAAACCAAGATTTGATGGTACTGTATTAATAAACTGAGACTTTCTTGTTTCTTAATGACCTTTTTGAGCCTGAAAAGCCTGATTATCGCCCACATTTATTTAGTGTATCGGTACAGTAGGAACATTCTGGGTGAGGTTTACTATTTAATAACATAGACACTCAGCTGACACTTAAAAGGTACTCCGAGTAACAATTACGGGCATTATTTCTTGCTTTGCGGAACTTCGCATTGGGCTTTATGATGGCCATTTCCTTCAAGCTCGCATCAACGAAAGAGAACTCTACTAGAGTAGACGTTGCACTGGTACTTTTTGGCACAATCCGACGCATCGCATGTTGATACTGAGAAGTCTATTACCGGTACCACCACTGATCCCCGCCGTATCTTGAGAATGAGAACAATACTATTACAAGCATCTCATACAACACATCACGCAACATGCAACATGCGGTACACGCAACATATTGGCACACGCTCGAACTGGCATCATCCAGGAATAGGCGGACGATGAGACTTCGCAATTGCGCCTGTACCGGTGCTGATGTTCGCAAGTGATCCGACCATACCATTGGGCTCCCTCGATCCGAGATCCGACCACCAGCACTTGCAGTGAGGATGATACGTCGATACGTTGAAACCAGTGTTCGGCGGTTAGAGTTGTTGTAGCGTTATTATGCGATCAAGAAGGTCAGGAAGCAAACCTCATGGCCAATCAGGTACCGTATGGATTGCCGGTTGCAACTCGGATCTGGTTGCACGTTGAATCATCAGATCTGACAGCTTTTCATCAAAGACCGACGGCGACACCCCCAGATGACCTTCGAAGGAAGGTGGAAACTCCAAAAAAGAGGCTGAAACCTCCCATTCTCATGTGGGCCTTTGCAGTGGTCTTATGGTTGGTAGCAACTTGTTACGATAGGGTACCAGTACTGGTCGCAGGTACCGTTTAATCTTTGATACGGTAGATTCGATTCTTCACTGGCTCTGTTCCTTGAGGTCTCGAGCAATCCGCCAGATCCCCACGAAGCAACATTACACTGAATACAATTTCCACTCTATAGAGTACCGGTTGTAGTGGCCGTGTCTCTTCGAAGGGCTTCTTTGGGTTTGCTGCTTTCAATACCCGCAGCGGTTGGCTTGGCTTCCCGTAGCAGGTCGATTTGCGCCCTGTACCGGTAGCTCCCTGGTGTGTTGATCTCCACCATGACTCCAAACCCCACAACAACTAACTCCTCTCGGCGGACTTTATTGTGTTGTTCTTTGACGTCTTCTGTAAGTGATCCGATCGTCAAATGGAATGTTCATCGGAATAGTCGAAAAGACGGGTGCCCCAAACATAGACACAACGAGAAATATTCCATGGAAGAATACTACGTTGGACACTTGAATGGCAACCATACCACCTTCAAAAACGAAGCGATGCAGGGTACTGCAGCCATATTTCAAACACAAGAGCAGGACCATGGCGCCCACAGCAGAAGAAAAAAGGCAAGCCGCTAGCGTGGGCAACGCCCAAAGTGCCATGATCGACGCCGCGTTGAGGGCCCAAGGAAGCGGGTACAAAACTACAGCTGAACAGACGTTTCTTGGGACGATGTAGCACGAGGCACCGAAGGCAGCGGGTTCAGCTGTTGGGTGGGGTGGCAACATTTAGCTACAGACACCCGCCCGTGGGCTAACTCGGGCCAAATACTGTACGCCGTCAGTACGGACAACTCTCTTTTTTAAGTTGGGCTAGGTAGCCGTGTATCAGGTGGCCTCGGTGGTGGGAGGAAGGGAAGAAAGGCCCCACCACACTGGCCGTCTATGGATCTTAAGCCGGCCTGGATCGGGAAACCGACTTTTGTACAACGAGGAATTAGATCGGGAGATTTCCATCCGCTTCCTCACCTTCTTGACAGCTGCCGGTGCAACTGCCCACGATGGAGTTTTGCTCGGAAGCGTGGAGCATTTATACCGGTACCGGTACGAGGCTTGCTACTGGAATAGTAGGTTGAGCCAACAGGGAGCCGATTTTCATGAAGACAGAGTTGACAGTATACTGTAGGGGGCAACAGCTGGGCAACCGAGATCGTCACAAAGGTCACTCGTCAACATGGCACGTGGCTGTGGTGGACAACGCAAACAAATTCCCCGCCAGCAAGGTGGCTCTGTGAGCCTTCGTGCTGTCGATGAGAAACGTAGACCACAACAAAACATACATGTAATCTCAATGGTACATTACAATAATGTAACACGTAACCCGGCTCCACCGATCACCCGTCAACCAGGCAACTAGAATTTCAAATCCATAAGATCGTCCACGAGGTCATACGCTCTCCGTTCCTCCAGCTTCCTTTCGGTGACTCTCATTGCCTTATCTTCCATTTTCTTCTCTCTTTTCAAGTTGGCGCACTCCTTCTTGTGCCCTTGTTTCCAGTGGGATCGTTGACAGGAACGGCTGCAATACATGGGACAGCAGCACACGGAGCAGGTCGAGAGCTTCTCGCGTGTTCCCGACTTGCCACAGACTACGCATTGAACGGTGTCCTTTGCTGCCTTCAATTCCGCCATCTCCGACTCCTTTTCCAGGATGGTAGAAAAGATCTTTTCATTGCAGTGTCCATTGATCCTCAGAAATGCGGCCTTCAGGGGCTTTTCGACAATCCAATCCAGCAAGCGATGGATGATAGCGTGCTTGTCTGGAGAACAATATTCGAGAGACCAAGGCTCCTTCCTTGGGTCATCGTCATTGTTGCTGCCATCCATCATATCGAAGTCAAAGAAGATGAGATTGTATGGAATCGCAGCAACGCCACAAGTGGCAACGTGGATAGCATGCACGACAAAGCGTTTGAGTTCGCTGCATGCCTTCCAGGTAGTAATACTGGCGATATGGTCATTCCTGATCTCATTTACCAGATCTCGAGGGCCAAACCTGAGTTTGCGGCACCCCTTGGGGTCAGCTTGAAGACCCTTCCAGAATGATACTTGGTCCTCTGATAAAGAGTGCAGGTGACAGCGAATGTCCCAACCGAACCTCCTCTGGCAAGTCTTCGTGCCGACTTTGAGGGTGAAAGGAAGGATCTCGTGACTAATTGTCATGGGTTGGAGTGAAAGATCTCTCCCTAGCCCCCAAGCTGTCAGTTTTACCTTGAGAATGATATCTTTCCCTTGCATCTCCTGGACGTAGTCGTGAAGATCCAACCGAAGGCGGCTCCAAGTACAGACCTCTTGGTGTTCGAATGCGGGCTCAAAATCCTCCTCAAACTTCCACAGTTGTATGTTTCCAGTGTCGTGCTTGAGAAATATAGTTCCCTTGACACGGTGCACCTTTGTGTAGGGCGGATTTAAATCCAAGAATAGCGACCATGCAGGAGGGTGTGGTATCCCGCTATCAAAGGGTGATTTCTGGAAGCGTACATTCCAGTCCATGTCCAACCAATTGAACTTTGGCGAACAAGTGGCAACCGATTCTGCAGATGGCTGGAACACCCAATCAAAGGAGACTGTGCGAGAGGAGCTCTTCCTGGCGTATCCTTTACTGGAATATGCGTCCAGATACCCACAAGTTTCGGCTTTTCGTGTCACTTCCCACCATCCAAGCAGATCTCCGTGTTCTTCGTCGGCAGCTGCTTGGCAATCATCATCTTGGTGATCGTTTGTGGCGTCTGGTGCGCTCATCTTTGTGTCATCTATGATATCATAGCCAATAAGAGGCAAGCTTGGGCCTCTCTTTCAGGTTTTCAAGCGAAGGGTGGGAGGGTACCGGTACGTACCAACAGGAAGGGGGTTTTTAAAAAATATTAAAATTTTATCTGGTACACTGAAAAAAGTGGTTCGTGGGTTTTTGGCTCTCGAACAAGCGTAACAATATCAATCCAGCAAGACATCATCTCGTACCTGTTTTCATTCCTTCATTTTTGTTGTCAAACACACAGTGTTGCCAAGGAGGCATCATCTTGGCCGGGAGTGCACAGCCAGCAAAGAAATCTCAACACGTGCAGCGCGAGAATTTCCAAAGCTTGTTAGACCGTGTCATTTTTCCCTGTTTGCCAATGACGCACAAAGCCAAAGAAACCAAATCGTTCTCGTCATTCCTTCTGAGTTAGTCGTCTGGGCCAATTCCTGTTATTTTGTAGCTTGTATGCGGCGTCACGCGAGTCCAGGGTGGAGCTGTCATGGATTGGCAGCAGCAATGGCAGTAAAGAAAAGCCGAGCTCTCCTTTGTTGATGAAAGTGTTCAGACGAAGTTTCGTGGATATTGATGACCGGTGCAAGAAAAGTTGGATTGGGAATTTGTTGGTGCGGACACCGAGGAGGACATGAAACTGGCCTGGACAGCCCATGCCATTGGTGTCATTGCCGCCGATTGGTTCGGAGGAGGTCCTTGGAAAGTGCACCTACACAGAAGGGTTGGTCCGAACATTTACGGCCAGTTCGGAGAGAACGCCATCTTCATTCCCAACCGTCACAACAACTTGGGAACCAACTTGACCGACGAATTCATCGTTCCTGCGAAGAAGAAGATCCTTGTGGATGCTGGTCCTTGTCGGCTGGATTCGTCCTCCAAACGCAACAACAGTGGCATGTGGCTATCACACGGCTTTGCAGAGGGTGACGCTATAGCTAGCGCTGAGGATGAGAACTTGCGGGTTTGGTTGATGCAGGACTGGGCGCGCTCTGATGACTCCATTACAGCACTTTGTCTGTATTACAGTATAGTACGATTGACAAAATCATACAACAACTATCATAGAAACAGCGTTTTATTTCATGTCGGGAACAGACGCCAATGGCACAAGCTGACATCGACGGACGCCGCAGCAAAACAACCATCTCTTGGTGCGGCGAATAAACCTAACATGAATCCAACACAACACACTGCACAAAGAGAGCGGGTCTTCGTTACCAACTCTCGATACACCAGATATACATATTCACGGAGCGTCCCGTGCACATGAGGATTGCCGCCTCCTGCGGCTCCATTGCCGATCCTATCTCTCACTTTTGCCGCCCTCATTCTAAGCTCATCAGCTCCGTTCAAGAGTCCACAGCCTGTCGGTCGAAGGCACGAGACAAGAGACAAGCGGCATCAATAGGTTCGGTAAGTTCAGAAGGAAAAGGGTGAGTTTTGACTTAAGGGGCGCGGCAAGTTCTTACGCCTTTAAAACATGGAAAAGAATCTTACATTTCACTCTTCAGCATCCGCCGACACTTCTAACCTTCTAACAAATGGATTTGTCATCATCACTATCGATGTCCATTGCTGCTTCTTCCAAATCAACGAAGAGCTCAAGACCTTCCAAATCAGCGAAGAGCTCAAGATCGTCGAAGAGATGCTGAACATCAACAGTTACCGAATCTTCCTTCAAGGCCTCATCATCGTCAGGCTTTTCGACGGGGCTCTCTGTCTCTGGCTTGAGCCTTTCAAGACGAGAGGCAACGTCGGGATTTTCCAGTAATTTGTCCCAGGCATCTGCATCCAGGACGAGCCGATCACATCCCTCCTCGGAAGGATCCTCGGAAGGATCCTCGGGAGGATCGCCTGTCATCTCTTTTCGGGCGTCTAAGTCCAAGCCAAGACGATCACATACGTCGGTCTTCCTCGCAAAGTGCCGTGGCTTCGCGCCAGTTGCCGTCTGATTGCACTCGCCCGTCGCTTGGGTTAAGTCCACAGAGCCCTGGGGTGATCGCATCTGAAGGTAATAAGGGCCACAACGCGGCGCTAGCACTGTACCGCCAGCTACGGCGACGTTGATCTCCGACCAGGGCGGGCGGTTTTGAGCTGGCGCAAGCATCGGTGGGGCCATTGGTACAAGCATTGGTACTGGCATACCTATGGGTGGGTAACCGGGGACAATCACGGTGCGTGGGCTCAAAGGGCCGTACCAAAAAGCTCGCGCCGTGGGGGTTGGGGGCGTAGAAGCCCTCACGCTTTGAGTTGGGCTTGGCGGACTTTTGGGTGGCTCCTCTTTGTCTGGATCCATGTCTTCCTTGCGGCAAGCGGCGGGCTTGTCCCTGCTGGGATCAGAGCGAGTGCTTCCGGGTGCGCCTGAGCAGCCGGGTGCGTCTGCTTTCTTGCTTTCTGCTTTCTTGCTTTTGCCTGCGCGAAACAGCGTGGAGATCTTGGATCTTGCAAGGGTGGGGTGCGCTGTAACGTCCTCCCACTCGCCGCGTTTACCTCGCCGGAGGAACCTAAGGCGGGCAAGAAGAAGCAAAGAGGCAGAGGTCAGGGAATGGAGCGAGTGCGTTGATGTATCATGGGCATTGCGCCTTACCTCGCCCCCCGGCGCACCATGTACACAACTATCTGCGCCGAGAGATTGGTCTTCCCCTTTTTGCTTCCTCGGTCATCAAGGAGATTGAATTGGTGTTGATTCTCCGCCACGACTTCTTTCAGCTTGGCGTTCCCTTTTGCCATATATATATAGCCGCCACGGCCTAGCAAAACGTCCCACGGCTGCAAATCCATATGGCGGACAGGAGATCCTTTGTACTCTGCGCCGCTCCTGTCTGCTTTGTTATTCTTTTTCTTCTTGTTTGTGAGGACCTTGGGTGCTCTCTTGGTGGTGGGAGAGGATTTGAAAGCACCACCGGAAGATTTGGATTTCCTTTGAGCCATCGTGGTATGTAAGATTGTCCTCATAGTTTGTGTAAGGTTGTCCTTGGGGTTTGTGTTACTGTTGAGTTTTGTTGAAGGTTGCTGGTCGGTGCTCAAATCCATCACTATCCAAAAAGGAAAAAGGAAAGCCATGCTGACCACATCCGACCCCAAGCAACGCTGTGCGGTGCGAGCACCTAACTTCCTACAAGCGCACGTTTCGCCTCCCGACTCAGCTAGATACTGTTGCCTGTATTAGGCATGAGGTGCAATAATGCGGCAATGACCGGAAGAACACGACCAACGGCTCGGCGAAGGCCAAGTACACACGTACATACTCGAGTAGAATCTGATGCCTTCGAAGCCGAAAGGGGGGACCTTACAATGTCCAGGGGGGTACAGTACCCTCGTACCCTCTAGATGGTGTCTACGGGTAAGCGTCCAGGCCCGGATGGTGGTCCTACAAAAAATAGGGCGATCCCACAAATATGGCTAAATGGAACGTCTTACGAAGTCGAAATGACAGCGAGTCACAGATACGAAGAACGGACATAGACGAAGCCGCTTCGTCCATAAGTTTTTCTGCTTTTTAAAATTACGGGGGCGTCTCAACCTCTGGCAGTCGTCATCTCGTCTTCTGGCAGGCTACGACTGTACGCCTCGGCGCTTGGCTGCCCCGAAAAGTAGGCTAGAGAAGGCGATCGGGTACCAGGTAAAAGTTGCCGACGATCAGGCTTGCAGGTCGCCCAGCGAGAACCTACACATCTGGGCTCCAGGCCGCGATCTAGCTCTGGCGGTGGAGACCGGCAAGAGGGTCAGCCAAAGAAGCGAGCGAAACACTGGTGCTGCTTGTCTTGATTCGTCCTGGCCATACGGGAAGAAGCGAAAGCTGCGATTGCCCATCACTACCCACCGCCGGGATACTGCGGTGCCGCTGGCTTCCCCGTTCACGATGATCATTGGGGCGATCTTGGCTATCTTGCTTGCTTCGCTGCAGCCACTGCTGCTGATACTTCCGTAATTACCACAGTGCCCGCCTTCGCTGACCACGGAACCGTCATGGTCATTGCTCCCGCGACTTGAAGAAGGAAGTAGCCAGACCGCTCAACGCATCTGAGGCCCTTCACGCTGCCACCGGCTGATTGCTTGCTCCTGGTCAGATCACTTCACATTCGCCATGGAGGAACTCTTGATGATCGAATGTTTTCACTTGTGGCCGAAGGTTGGCTGAAATGATACGTTTTCTTGGTTGTGGCTTGGTGGCTGGGAAATGAATGGGCCAGGGAAGCAAGCAATTTATCCCACTGCTGCCTCCTGGACAGGTATTACGAAGAATCCACTGTACTAATACTCCCGTTGGCGAAGAGGCCACTTTAGCTATAGCTAGCCTGCTATTCTTGGCGACCATCGTGGACCTGGCTTTCTACCCGTAAGCAGCTATCCCTTGGTTTAAGCCCTGGAGAATTTTCAAACTCGGACCCGGGAGGGTAGACCCAGGTGTGGATCCTTTTGCCTTCCAAAAACGTGTGTTACCGGTACCAAGGTACGGTACCGTACACTGTACCAGGTTCCGGTAACGGTACCAGTCCTAGTACGTCATCACAGTCTCAGATCCTGACATTCGTGCTATAAAATGGCAGAGCTGTTTATGAGGATCGCACGAAGACTGGCAAACCTTTCGGCGGCACCTTTACCGTACCGGTACCGGTACTTGTGCCGGTCCTAGTAGTCTACATGTACCAGTACCCATGTATTGTACAGCGCAACCCACGGCGGCAAAGAAGAGGACCTTGTCAACGAAAGAAAGTACCAAACTCTAGCTAGCTAGTGCTGTTGTTGCTGCTGCTCTTGCTTCACGAAAGTGAGAATTGTAAGGAGGGCCGAGAGCTCAGTGACGGTTGTGCAGTTCTTGCCCCGCTCAAAAACAGCATCTGAGTCGAGTCAACATTTTCAGATACAGTGTCCGCATGTTTTGCTAAACTAAAGCTTTCCTGTTTGTTCCATTAGTGATGTCAAGTACCAGCCAGTCATAATAACTAACTTATCTAATAATAGAAGATTACGATAGACCCCAACTTGATTCTAAAGCCAGCAATATGAGAGGCTTAGATGTCACGAATGCATGAATGGCCATTTCGCGCCCTATTGATACAGTCTGGAGGAACACAGATGGATGTGGTACCAGTACAGTACTGTAGCTCTGCTTCTCCTGACAACCACAGAGATGGAGGGCAGCGGCCAGAACAGCGAAGCTGTCACGAACGGAAAAGGCTTGGAAAGCACAGCCAATTCAATCATTGGAAATCGAATCAACAATGATTGAACCATTCCCCTCCTTCCTTTCGGGCTGTCTCGCTTACAACTGACAGCTTCGTTGCCAGCTCCTCTTCTTCTTCAACATAGTTTTGCAAGGCTCCTTTAGAAGGAGTTTCTTTCGGTTGACAACTCGACTCTACCACGGTACCTTGTGAACTACTCCTCGGACATCACACCCACCCTTCGATGTACCATAGGCGCGGTTTGCGGGTAAACAACTGCACTATTTCAACTAACCTACTACCGGCACTGGTGTTTGTTCGGCAGAGTTAGTTATGCATAGCTTCTTGTTAATTAATTAATTAATAGTAAGAATCCATATACACGCATGGTAAAGAAATCTGCAGCCATTCAGAGTCTTCTGATTTGTGTGAGTATGCCATACGTTGTCACAACATCACTAACGGACTGCCCGTATCCGAATCATCCGATAGAGGATCTTCCATCATTGCATCGCCTTCAACAGAAGACGTGGCATCATCAACGCGCTGTCCAGAGTTGGAATGGTTCCAATCAAAAAATGGCTCCGCACCTCCGTTGTTTTCAAAAGTTGATTCGCCAGAAGGAGCGTCACTTTGTAAGTTTTCTCGACTATTAATACCGCCAGTACCCAATACTCTGTCTGGATCCGGGAGGAGAGAGTCTGCGGCTCGTTGGTTGGTCCTTGTTGAGTCTTCTTCTGTCGAGCTTGCCGCAAAGCCATCGAATTCACTATGAAAAGGATTAGCTCTGGGATCTTCCAACAAAATCGGATCTAGGTCATGCGCTTGTCTGTTTTGTTTCGACTGCTGGCCCGAACGCTTCCGTGCCCGAGCCACCGCCGGCTGTGCCGCGGGTGGGGCCTGGAATAAAAAGGGACGGCCACTTCGTCCCTGAACAAGAGGAAGATCAGGAAGGGTGGAGGCAACATTGGGCGGCAAGTGAGACATAGGTCTTAACACCAGAGGCATCTCTGGTACCCAGAACGTGTTGTTCCCTGTGTTAGGGTCACACGCAACGATGATGGTACCGGGGCTGAGAGGAACCCCACGGCAGAAGCACGGTCCTGTCCCTGGGGGAGGCAGAGAATGGACGGACGAACCGCTTCCGTCAAGGCTCGGAACAGCGGGTCGCGTGTTTGTTGCGATGTTCGGAACTTTCATGAAAGTACCGATACCCGTGGGATGCCTTGGCAGCCCGATGTTACTACCGGTGGATGCCCTGCGAGGAATCGGTTTCGAACCTGGCGGGCCGCAGGTTGAGTCTCGCAGCTCCGACCCACAACGGGAACGATTGGATGCAATCAAGCCGTTTCGATCGCTCGGAGAAAGCGAAGCAGCAGCGACAGAGTCCGCCTTGTCGATGGGCTTCACTTTCTGACCAACGGCAGATTCTTTCCCAGTCTTCTCTGCCTTCGGTTCATCTTGTGAATTAACTAGGCTGGGCAGGGGAGGGAGGCTTTTGATGTCCAAGGTTATGCTTGGCCTCTTGGCAGGGTTTTCATCCGTTGGTTCAGCAACACGTTTCTTCTTCTCCTTGTCCTTCTTGTTGGCAACGGCAACAGCGTCTCGGAGGCATTGGGCAACCTTTTGCGCAACCGGAGATCGTGAGCTTCGACTACACTTCGTGTGACTAATGATGAACATCTCGAGCTCACCTTTTCTCTCGCGTCGTCCGAATTGCTCATATCTGTCCAGTCGCCATTCTCCGGATCTCGTTGCAAAAATCTGTACAAACGCACACGCATTGAGTGACGGCAAACCGAATATAAGGTAATATGCATAGCCAGGCAACCGAGACAAGCACAAAGGCGAAGTACCCACCGTCCTCCTTTTTCACAGACATGTTTGACGACTTCCTTGCTTAGGTCGGTTTTCTCTTTCTTTCCAAGTTTCTTGTACTTATCCTTCAACTCGTGGGCGATCGCCCGCAGCCATTGATTCCTGGAGGTAAAAACGTCAAGAACAAACGTCAACAGTTGCTCTAGTAGCTAGCTAGCTAAGAACGAAAGTTGGCAGCGGCAAGGGAAAAAGAGGTCGTCTTACCCCGCAAACTTGTGGTTGTTGCCGCCTCGCCCCAGCAGGATATCACACTGTTTCAGATCGGAATGTAAGACCTTCAAATCAGGCGGTTCCTTCGCAGCCATGGTTTTCGGAGCTTGATTGTCAAGTAGTCTGGATTGGTGAGTCATGTTACCTTGATGGATACACTCATCAAATGACGAGGCGTCTCGTCGCATCCAAAGGCTCCGAATGCATACTCTACTTCGATACCAGTAATAGCTTCCCAAAATTGCCACCGTTGTTGTTTGCTCGATCAACAAGTCATACATTTGTAGCCAACAGACTACTAGCTAGTACTAGTAGTAAGTTCGACCACACCACTGCCGTGGCCCCGACTGATTTGGTCCTACAAAACCCAGTCCCAGATTGCCGGCGTGGAAAAAAGCACCCGAGGGGGTTATGTCATAAAACGGTGCCATGCAGACGCGAGGCTGAGCAGCATTGGTCGCATCGCGGCATCGCAGGTGCATGTACGAGTACGGGTACCGGTACTAGCACGGTGTATCATTGTACATGCTATTTGGGCATTCTCTACTCTATCCGGTTTTAATGCCGTGCTGGTTCCCAGCTCTGGGCAGCTAGCTGGGCCCGTCATCTATCTAGCTAGTAGCCAGTTTGTTCTCCTCGGTCAACGCTTGTTGTCTTCTCGCATGGGCCATGCCAGCGACTTCGTTTCACGCACGCCTCCTGTTTCCCTTCTTTAACTACCAACAACTGAACATCCCGAAAAAGCATTGCTTGCAATGAGGATACCGGTACTTGCTCGATGGGAGCAGTCGGTGCTGTTGCCTGTGACGTAAAAGATCCAAATCGAGCATTCCGTGGGGTCCATCCTGATGGGACAATCTGTAAAAGGGAAACCGGAGACGAAGAAACTAGGGCGAGGAGACTCGATCATGCAAAACGAATTGAGCGAGGGACCGGTCTGGAGTCATGATATTGTCAACTGGCTGAGGCAGCAGCGTTCGCTGACGAGGGTTTTGCATGATAGAGGGGCTTGACTCGAGATCTTCATCATTCATGGTTCGTGGCATGTACTGCCTTCTTCTTGGCCGGAACCGTTGCTTCTTGCACTGCTTTCGTTGGCATGCAATGACTGTCTCCATACCGGCATCGCTCAACAACCGTCTTCCGATGTTGTTGGCTGCATTCCATCATCGCTCATGTGGTGTTTTCAGCTTCTGTCGCTGGAGTAGACAAGGATAATGCCCCGAACAACCATCGCAGCAGATGCATATAATCTACGAAGAAGTAGAGGCGCGCTGCAAACTTGCTTCAATCTTTCCTCTATAAGTAGATGACATCCCGCAATCGAGATAGAGATCGAAGTGCTGTTCGTTACTATATACTAATCATGCATGAACGCTTTACTCTACCGTACTGCTGAACTCGCACGTCACAAATGCTGCCTGTGAGTTGCCATCGCTCCTTCCAACAAGCGACCTCCGTTCTACTCCGAAGCTCTGCCTGAATGTGTCCACTGTCACGTCTCGTTGGAATCGAGAGGAGAACCCAGTGTTGCGTGCGAGCGAGTCCTCCTTCGAATGCCATGAATAAAGTCTCAAAGGTGTGGCCCAATCTCTACGCTGCTGGGCATAACTTCTTGACGAACCGGGATCACAGCGGGCACTGCGTATTCACGTTGGTTCCCTTCGCTGGCAAAGACAGGGGCATCTGCTTGGAAAGATCGCATTGGTACATCTCTCCTGGGAGCTTCGTTTGATGTGGTTTCGTATGATGGCCTTCGCACTTCGTAGTAGCTCGCCTGGGGTGCTGCCTCAACATTTTCTTGAACCTCACTGTCGTTCTCTCGTGGTAGTGACTGTGTTGCGATATCGTCTTCCAGCTTACCTTCAACAGTCAAAAGAACAGACATCTCCATACTGTCATCCGATGAAGCCACACTGGTCTTGCGCACAGGCGCCTGGTTGTCAGCCTTGAATGAATACACTGGCGTACGGGTAACTTCAGTGGGCTCTTCCGATTCCCTGCCGTGGTCTTCCGCTCCTGCGCTGCTAGCATCAGTTTCCATTTTGCCTTCAACTGCCATCAGCACCGACATCTTCACGCTTTCATCGACTGAAGCAACGCTGGACCTCAAAACTGGCGCCTGGTTTGCTGCCTTGTATGTGTACACTTGTCGGTTTACCATTGAAGGCTCTGCGGGAGCAGGTGTGTCAACCGCAGCCTGGGCTTCTGGCATGGCAGGCTCTGCGGCTGCTTGCACCACAGGCACTTGTTGGGCTGGTACGGTCGGCTCCTGCGTTGTCTGCAAAATGCTTGGCTCATCACTTGCCTGCATCATGCTTGGTTCGCTACTGGTGCCTGGAACTTCTCGACGTGGTTGAGCCTCAGTGTCGCTGGTGGTGGCTTCTCCGAATGCCTTGACCATGGTTTCTTCAGGCAGCTCGCCTTCCAAGTCATTTTCCTCCAAAAGCAACAAATCATCATGGTTTCTGATCAAGGTGTAGCCCAGGACTCCCATCAAGGCACCTGTGCCGAGCTTTCCGCCCCAGCCCCCGAGCATGACACCAGACAGAGCCTGCTGGGCAATACCCGCAAAGATACAGGCAGGGACCAAAGAGTTGACAGTTGGTAGAACCTTTGGAGCGGACTTGGCAATAAACGCACCACAGAAGGCAGGTCCAGCCACAGATGCGGGAAGCAAAAGGCTGGCAAGCAATCCAGTTGCTCCCACGGCACCGACAGAAGTGGCCAACCTTCTTGTAACGCTGAGAGAGAAACGATTCGACAACCGACCCAAGAAGGAAAAGCTAGAACCATGCGAATGGGCAATGTCAATATGGGTTCCCATCATGGCATCTTTCCAGTATCGAACAAAGAGAGCTCCAAGCATGGTAAAGCTGATTACCGTTGGAAGATCGGCCAGCAATGTGGCCAACTTGGGAGCTTCGCCGATAAAGGAGGCCGCGGCATTTGGAGCATTGAACAGTTGCGGTGCTGATACCAAGAACTGAAGGGTGCAGGCGCACTGAGCGATGAATCCAAGGCGACCTAAGCAAAGCAACAAGCGGTCAGCACGAAATGCGCAAAGCGGATTCACCAAGTGAAGTCAAACAAACATATGAACTAACCTCCCACTCCATCCAACCATTTCTTTTTTTCAAAGACTGTGTACAAGCCGGCACAGATCACACCAAGGATACCAGCTGACCACATCCCTGGAATGACAGCAAGTTTTGCCATTCCAGCGAATGATCCGCAGAGCGCCGCAATTGCCAACTGCTCAGGCAAGACCAGTGCAGCAAGGAGACCGGTCAAACCTGACGCTCCAACAGCTCCAATACTCATGAAGTTGTAGTTGTTCATGGCAAAGGTACCGACGGTTGCCACAAATACGCTAGCAGCTGCTGGAATGGAAATCTTGGATTGTGCTTCTTCGCCATCTTCCATTGAATGCAAACCCGGTGATACCTTGTACTTGGAAATGTTGTCAACAGTGGGTTCCACAGCTGATGCCGAAAAGAGACGAAAAGAGGAGGCAGAAAAAGACTTGGAAGTAGTGGCAATCGCATTGGTCCTGACTGGGTGGGACAGGGTCGACCAAGAGGAAGTGGGCGAGATCAAAGAGGCCGAAGCGACAAAAACCGCAAGAGCGGAACCGAGAAACTTCATCTTGCTTTTTGGTGGGAAATGGCTATCAATCCTTGTGTATCTTTCTAAAGGACACAAGTTGTCCGTCCGAGGGCGAGAAATTAATGAGCTCAGTCAAGTAGAACTCATCAACGCTCTTTCTTCGAACCGCATGACAACATCATGATGCAAATGTAGAGCTGATGTAAGCAAAACGTGAGAGAGTGTGACCTTAGAGTTGCTCGACCTCATCATGACGTTGCAAAGATCTTCGAACTGTTTTTGTGGATTCGAGTCATTCGATTCGATTCATTCGACGTCAAAGTAGATAGTCTAGTCTTCTTTCTCAAGATTAAAATTCAGGATACTAGCTAGCTACCGGTACTAGTAGTAGTAAGGTTGAAAGAGGCGTTGATCCATGCAGTGTTTTCTCCCACCTCAGCAATCTTTTAAAGCACTACCGGTACTTAACATTCAGTTTCCTCTGAGAACTTGGGGAAAGCGACGAATGCAAGAAATGACCCCATTCGATTTGATTCGATTCCGATTCTATGGCTCCCAGCCTCCACATATCCAGCGATCCGAGACGGCCGGCGTGCTAAAAATTTAGCAACGGTTTTGGCTCGAACGTTTCTGCTTGCTAAGCATGAACGTTGTTTTTTCAAAACTTGTCAACTCGACGCAGCTGGGGAAGGGTTAGCTCCCAAATAGTATGTTCTTGCTGACCCCGCCTGAGCTGGTTCGAGTTGAGTTTTTTTGACAGCGCTAGGTTACACCGAGGAACTCCAACTCTAAACCATGGAGTAACTGTGCTATTTTCTATAAAGACTTAGAGAGCTGTCGCACCATGACATCATGAGATGAAAAAGCTCACATTTTCTTGACTGTCGAAATTCATTGGCTTGAAAGAACCGAAACGGACGTGTTTGGATTGGGTATGCTCTTGTTCCTGTTGACCGAACGAGCGAGGAGTAACTGCAGAGGCTAGCTAGTAATCGACTAATCAAATATAGTAACTCGCCATGGCGCCCTCGTGTTTGCCTTCGAATAGTAGCGGCATTGGCACTAGGAAGAGTCTTCGGCAAAAGAGAAACCATGACGCTCCTATCGTGAAGATCCCCCCACCGAAATCGATACGACGCATTTGCTACTGCACTGAATGGCCACTGGAGCGCAACTTGATGTGCAGCGGGTGTGTCTTTTATGTTGACTCTTCGGACACCAGCAAGAAGGGAGGACTCCGTCGTGATACTCATTCTGGTGACAAGTTTCAATGCAAGAAGCCATGGACATATGAACCAGATGAAGATTATGTGGCAGAAAAGTTCAACATGAGTTTGGATTGGATCAATGACGTGAATGCATACCTGTCGGCACATTTCATCATGAATGGCAGTCGTCTACACCAAACACCGTGCTCCACAACTCATGCAACAACAAAAACAGCGGTCGTTGTGGAGACTGCAGCTTTGGGAAATGAGAATACCCCGCCAAGTTGCAATACACGGCTCTTAGCCTTATTCGCGACTCGATCCTAGATAGGGTCTGAGTTCGACTCATGACTGAGTCTCTCGTGAATAGTCATTTGAGACAGGGTTCTCAATGACCGCTCTAGTCATACTAGGTTGATGATGAAACATCGCTCTAGATATTTAGCCAGCGTGGAGTACTTCCACGCTACTAGATCCATGCTAGACGAATCTTCCACACGTTCCGTTTTAGGATCGTGGAGATACGTAGGATTACTACCCCAACCTACTCTATCACACTTTATAGTCTCCCGCGGGAGACCAGATCTACGATCCTTTGATTGTGGATCTCTCTCGTTGATTAGTTTTCATAGCTTTCTAATCTCTCTATAACTTTCATTCTCTCAACTCAAAACACTCGAAAGATCTTTACACTAGCTTTTAGCGTAGTGCATTTTGTTAACAAACACAATAGCTTTCAGCTACCCTCAACCTATTCCTTCACCATGAAGATTGCTCAAGGAAAGCATGCGTTCAGCAACTTCGAGAAACAGTTGCGTGAAAACCCATTCTTCCTCTCGTCGACAATGACGAAGACACCGAGATCGACGATACTCGTGCAACCACCTGCAAACTTCGAACCATGTTGCCAAGCGCAAATCAGAAGACTCCTGATAAGAGGACAACTCCTCTATCGATTTCAATCACTTGGATGAGAAATCTCTATCTGAGGATTAGGCCAGGATGATGACTCAACGGAACCAGTTCCATTTCTCATACCAAAGTGATGAAGATATCTCACTAACTAGTAAACAAGAATTGTTTGCAACTGATGAACTCTACGGCAAATTAGATGATTGCCTAGAAGCTGCTCAACTAGACTCTGATGATCTATTTAGCATCGTTAACCTGTCCGTGGCCAACCACCTTGTAAACGTCGCAAGACAAAGACCTCAAAACTATCGTCTATGTTAGATTTAACAAGCGAGAAAAGGGAAACCAAAACCCGTTACACTCCGTTGCTTACTGGATACAGGAGCATCCGGACTTTGATTGCTCATACTCATGCTAAGAAATTACCATGAAGGATCTTGGGGGCGTCAAACAATGTGGACTACCCCTGCAGAGAATTAAACACCAGCAGAAGTGCAAAGGTGCATTCATGATTCCTGAATTCCACGATGATAGAATTATCGAATGGGATTTACAGTCACCAAGAGCTTGGGGCGTATGACATGATCATAGGTCGAGACATTCTCTCTGACTTTGGATTTAAGTTCGATTTCACTACCATGTCAGTGGTGGGACGGAATCTATTCCTATGAAAGATAGCACACCAATGAAGAAGAAGAATTTCTTCATTCCTGATCCTACTGCGTTGATGACAGTGCAGATCGTCTCAGAAGATTCTTGATGCAAATACGAACAAGCTGACTTAAGGCAGGTTTGCCAAAGTCAAATCAGTTGAATAAGGAAGAGAGGAACAGCTTCATTCCTTATTAACGAAAGTACTCTGACCTATTCGATGGACTTTGGAAAGTGGCAGATGGACGACTACGAAGTAGAACTCCTCCCTGACGCTAAACCCTATACGCTAGGGCTTATCCTATTCACGTGTCCATACCAACACTCTTAAAAGATGGAGGTTGAACGTCTCTGCGAAGCAGGAGTACTCAAGAAGGTGAACCGTTCCGAATGGGCGGCACCACTTTTATCATTCCAAAAAGGATGGATCTGTACGATTCATCTCTGATTTCCGGAACTAAACAAAAGGATTAAGCGAAGCCTTATCCTATCCCAAAATACAGGACATGCTCTTGAACCTTAGACGGATTCAAGTACGCCACTAGTCTAGACCTGAACATGGATACTATCACATCGAGCTGTCACTCACTCGAAACAACTCTGTACTATCGTACTCCCGTGGGGAAAGTACGAATACCAGAGGTTGCCAATGGGCCTATGTAATAGTCCTGACATCTTCCAAGAGAAGATGGGAACACTAATGCACGACCTAGAATACGTCCGTGCATACATTGATGATCTACTCATTCTAACTAAGGCGATCTGGCAGATCACGTTGAAAAGTGGATGAAGTTCTCCGAAGGCTTCGAGAAGCCGGACTTAAGATCAATGCTACAAGTCCTTCTTCGCAAGAGGAGAATTGAATACCTAGTGTTACTGGATTACTCGAGAAGGGATCCAACCTATAACCAAGAAAATAGCGCGATCCAGAATATCGCTCCTCCTACAACAGAAAGAACTCCGTAGATTCATTGGACTAGTGAACTACTACCGAGACATGTGGATTAGACGATCACATGTCTGGCCCACTCGCTTCGTTGACTTCCAAAACAACGAAGTGGAAATGGGAGCGGAACACGCCAAGGCCTTTAGCCAGATGAAGAAGATCATCAGCAAAGAAACCTTGCTCGCTCCCTGACTTCAACGATACATTCGTTATCCACACGGATGCGAGTGATACTCAACTAGGTGCAGTAATTTCCCAGAAGGGAAAACCTATCGCGTTCTACAGCAGGAAGCTCAACCCTGCTCAGACACGCTACACGTTACCGAGAAGGAACTTCTCAGTATCGTAGAAATCTGAAAGAGTTCCGTAATATTTTTCTAGGACAGAAGATTGATGTACATACGGACCACAAGAATCTTACATGTAAGAACTTCAATAACGATCGCGTAATGCGATGGCGCCTATTCTGGAAGAATACGGCCCTGAACTACGGTACATCAAGGGCGAACAAACATGTCGCTGATGCGTTGTCGAGACTTAACATCTCCAACAATGATGGTTCTTCAGAACAGATGGAAGCCAGCGAGATCGCTGAGCCATGGCTCAGACGAAGAGGACTTCCCAGCGAGTTCCCTCTCTCGTTCCCGAGTCGAACATCGTCAGAAGGACGACAACGATATCAAGAAACTCCTCAGGGACAAGCCAACGACACAAAAGCAATCTTTCCCCAGAGGGGATAAGTCTTACGACTTAGTAGTCAAGACGACAAGATCGTCGTACCTAGACTATGCAGAAGAAGCTAGTCGAATGGTACCATGGTGTGCTGATGCATCCTGGCGAGACTCGCACAGAACTGACCATCAGCCAACACTACACCGGAAAGGCTGCGCAGACTGTGCAGGCCGTATGTCAGCTTGCCAGAGCTGCCAGATGAACAAACCCAAGACGCGTAAGCTGGGATTGATGCCTCCAAAGACTTGCGAGGAGATCCTTGGGAAAGACTATGTATTGACCTGATAGGTCCTACAAGTCGGGGATCCTAAGAAAAAGAATTCCTGCCAACTTCATTGCTTGACAATGATTGATCCCGTAACCGGATGGTTCGAGATTGCAGAGATCTGCTCCAGGCAGCAGACGAAGTAGCCATCGTCTAGAACAAACGTGGCTTACTCGTATCCATGGCCTGCTGAGGTTATCATGATAGAGACTGAGTTCCGCGCAGGGTCGAAAAGACTCTCCGGGATGAAATGGACTTCGTCGCAAGTTCATCACTACGCGTAACCTCAAGCCAACTCTATGGTCGAGCGTGCTCATCAGACCAT